GCAGCTCAGGTTTGTTTTGTCCTGTGAGGAGACACCTTGAGCCATCAATCTCTGTCTTATTTGTCAGGAAGGGCAAAGGAATGTCAAAGCCCTTAGGGGTTCAGACATCTGGATGGGAATTATGCCACCCAAGTAGCCACCACCCAAGTAACCCCTTCTCTGCATGTACTTTCATAGTCACCCACCTACCTCCCACCCACCCACTTACCTGCTCAAACTTTCACCAAATCACCTGCCCACTCACTCACCTGCCCATTCACCCAGCCATCCACTCATTCACCCACTCACTTGTTCACCTACTACTCCTTCGCCCACTCAATCACACAGCAATGACCCACTAAGTGTCCACTAGATGGCAGGCATTATTGCTTGTTGCTAGCTACAGATTATTGATACAGACCGTCCCTGACTCATTGTGTTTGAGACAGACCATCCAGAAGTAAACCAATAAACACACCACGAAAGAAGGTGGCCTGGGACCCAGAGAAGGCCACTGGAAGGAGGGACAGGGAAGCCACAACTAAGGATATGAAAATCAACTGTGGAAAGAACCCAGAGATGGGGGTTGCCAGCCAAGGGAAGTAACTGCAGAGATGGAGACAAGTTTGCACAACACCAGAGGACCAGGAACAAGGAGAGACGGTGCAGAGTGACACTGTAAGGGGACCTAGTGGGATCCGTAAGAGCCAGACTGCAGATCACAGGGACTGCGGTGGGAAGTTCGGCTTTGCTCTGAATGGGACCGGAAGTTACTGAAGGTTGGTACAGGAGAGGATATGTGTGCTCTGATTGAATTCTACAAGAGACATCTAGACTCAGCCATGCCCTCAAGTCCTCTTCCTGACTCTTGGGTGGCCCTCAGTGACCCTCCTCACCATTTGCCTTCAGTATGAGTGACAGAAGTCACTGTTCTGTACCCCCCCACACACACCATCAAAGGAGAACCCCCACCTGCCCGGCATAGGGTGAATGCATCCTTCAGACTCATGCTAAATCCTGGCTCCCCAGGTGAGGGCATTAAGAGGGTGATTGGTCATGAGGTTGGAGGCTGCGGAGCTCTCTCATCCTCTTCTGACAGGACAGAAGATGGTCATCCACAGACCAAGCTCAGGCCCTCACCAGACACTGAACCTGTCATCACCTTGACGCTGACTTTCCCAGCTTTCCCAACTATGATAGACTATTGTTTAAACACCCAGGTGTGGGTGTTCTCCTTTTCTATATAAGGCTCTGTGCTGTAGGGCAAAGCCAATGCCTAGCAGATGCCCAAGTGCAAGTCTTCCATCAGTCTGATCCAGCTGTGTCCCTCCAGCACAAGCCAGACGCCACTTCATGTCCGGGGGTTTCCAAAAATGTCTCTTGTCCCCAAAAGTGAAAGCAGCAACTGCCGCATGCACACTTGCTCCCCTGTGGCTGCTGACCTGGGGCCGGGCAGGGTGGGGGTGGGGGAGAAAGGGGAGGCTAGCAGGGCTGCAGAGAAGGGCTCAGCCTGCCTGGGCATCTCACAGAGGCCAGACTTAGGCTGAGATGGGACAAGAAAACTTGGAAAGCTACAAGAATTGACCCACAGGAAGGGGGGAAAGGGAGGACCCAGCTGCAATATTCTTGGGTCCTGTCTCATAAACTTGCTAGACCTGAGGATAGAGCCCAGGGCCTTACACATGCTAGGCAAGTGCTCTCACTTGAGCCATACCTGCAGATTTTTTATTTTATAATTTGCTTTTGTGATAGGGCCTCACTAATATGCTGAGTGGCCCTCAAACTCATGACATTCCTGCCTCCATCTCTTGAGTAGCTGGGATTACAGGTATGAACCATCACACGTGGCTCTATGTTGGACCTTCTGCCAGGCAGTGAGGCAGAGACAAGTGAACTGCAAGAAGCTCCCTGGCAAGCAGGCCAGCGGCACATCGTATCTGATGCTTCCCTTGGGCTCATTCCAGAGACACATATACATAGAGATGGGACCGGATGGCTATTTCCATAAGCAAAGCCAACAGGTAAGCAGCAGATGTATTCTAGAGTGCCAATGAGAGGAATAAACTGTAACAGTTTGAGAATAATATCAATTGTTGGCACTGGCACTTGTACAGCACGGCACAGCATTCTTCCACTTCTTAACTCATCTTAAGCCTCTTGATGGCCGACAAGGGTGTTCCAGAAATCAGTCATGGAAAAATCACCATAGCCCTGGCTATGAAAGCCAAAGACTGATATAGTTGGATACTTTACTGTTTGCAGCTTCTTTTATTTTTAATTTGGTCGATCATGGGGCTTGAACTCAGAACCTGGGTGCTGTCCCTGAGCTCCTTTGTTCAAAGCTAGCACTCTACCCTCTGAGCCACAGCACCACTTCTGGTTTTCTGGCAGTTAATTGGAGATAAGAGTCTCACAGACTTTGTTGCCTGGGATGGCTTTGAATCGTGATTCTCAGATCTCAGCCTCTTGAGTAGCTAGGATTACAGGTGTGGGCCAGGATCACCTGGCATGCAGCCTCTTTTTGTTATAAGATCTCGTTAATGAACTACAAATGCAAAGCATGCAGGGGAGGGACAATGGGGGTGGGAATATGGAGAAGCACGTGCACTCAAGTGGGTAAATCTTAAAACCTACAAATCTGTAATAAAATATTTCAATAGAAATGAAAGTGGGGGGGGCTGGGAAGGTGGCTCAGTGGTAGAGTGCTTGCCTTGCATGCATGAGGCCCTGGGTTCGATTCGTCAGCACCACATAAGCAGGAAAAAAAAAGCCAGAAGTGGCGCTGTGGCTCAAGTGGTAGAGCGCTAGCCTTGAGCTGAATTGCTGAGGGACAGCGCCCAGGCCCAGAGTTCAGACCCACGACCGGACCCCCCCTCCCAAAAAAAGAAAAAGAAATGAAAGGTGGGCTTGAACAGACCTTTCATTAAAGAAGAGGTGCAGATGGGAAATAAGGTCATCATCCATCTACAAAAATGCACCTTCAAACCCTAAGGAGACATCACTGCATACCTATGGGAATGGACACAATAAAAGATAGTGACATTATGTTATTGGTGGAGGACCTGGAACTCTCAACTTGGCTGAGGTGGAGGTGATGTCGAATGGCACAGCCACACTGGGAAATGGCTCAGCATAATCCAGTGCAGAGGTAAATACTCCTACATGGACTCGCATAAATGGGTCAGATATGTAACCATGACACCCCTAGAAGCAATAGACCTAAATGAGGATAAATAGTGTCGCATCTAAATCATGTAGCAAGAGAAAAAAAATAAAGTTCAGCCCCACACACATATACACAAATATTGTGGGTCTTGCTGTCATAAATGTTGACTAAAGACGACACCAGAGAACACAAACCACATATTTTCTTAATTTATATAAAAATGCACAGAATGAGCATCAGGGTTCAAGGGTCTATTCACAGATGACAGCAGAATCAGGACTGTGGTTACTGGCGGGGAAGACACAGGGCAGGGAGGGGAGGGGTGGCTCTCCGGGTCTAGAGGGCAAGGTTCCCCTTTCCCCTCGGGCCGAACTGTAGTGATCATGGCCACACCCTGTGAAGAAACCTTCTCTGGAACTTCCTGTCAGTAATCTTGGATGCAGATGCTTTGTACCAGATGACTTCTGAAGCCACCCACCAGCCTTCTAATACCAGACACTGACTCTGTGTGCTCCTCCTCCCAGCTCTGTGCTCCAAGCCTCAGTTTCCCCACCTGAGCATGATGGCCCCATTGTTCCTAGGTCATAGGTGCAATGTTAAGGAGTCCCAGGATTTGGCTGTGCCTCCCAGATCTGTGAGTTGGATCTTGCACCCCAAGCGCAGGGTTGAGAGGTAGATCAAATGAGAGGTCATTCAATCACAAGAGTGGGTAATCATCAGACTGGATTGACAGTTTTTTAATGTCAGTACTGGGGCTTGAACTCAAGGCCTGGGTCCCTTCAATTTTTTGTCAAGGGTAACACTTTACCACTTGAGACACAATCCCACTTCTGGCTTTTTGGTGGTTAATTAATTAGGAACAAGAATCACACAACCACCAGGAGCTTGTGGCTCATGCCTGTAATCCTAGCTGCTCAGGAGGCTGAGATCTGAGTATTATGGTTTAAAGCCAGTCCAGGCAGGAAAAGTCCATGAGACATTTTTTTTTTTGTCGGCCATGGGGCCTGAACTCTGGGCCTGGGCACTGTCCCTCAGTTCTTCAGCTCAAGGCTAGTGCTCTACCACTTGGGCCACGGCGCCATTTCTGGCTTCTTCTGCTTATGTGGTGCTGAGGTACTGAACACAGGGCCTCATGCATGCAAGGCAAGCACTCTACCACTGAGCCACCTTCCCAGCCCATGAGACTTTTATCTCCACTAAACCACTCAGAAAACCAGAAGTGTTGCTGTGGCTCAAGTGGTAGAGCACTCACCTTGAGCTGAAGAGCTGAGGGACAACACCCAGGCCCAGAGTTCAAGCCCCACAACTGACCAAAATAATAATAATAAAAGAATCACACAAGCATTCCTGCCTAGGCTTGCTTTGAACTGTGATCCTCAGATCTCAGCCTCCTAAGTATTTAGGTTTAAGAATGTGAGCCACCAGCATTCAGCTCAACACTGTTGTGGGAGTGGACTGTTCTTAGCAGAGTGGAGTTGTTACCTTTGGCTCTCAGATTTTTTGCTATTCTGCCTGAGAGCCCTCTGCAGACACTGCCATCTTGCTTCTGGCCTTCCCAGTTTCTAGAACAGTGCGCTAAACAAATACCTTTGTAACTAATTCAGCCTGTGGTTTTCTGTCAAAGGCAGAGACAAGGACTGAAACAAAGACATTGTCTAGGCCTCTGAATGTTATGGAGGCTGCTGGAAGTGAGGCCAAGCTGGACTGCTAAGGGCTGCCTCTATGGCCTTCCCCTGTGGGGGCCCCAGATTGTCAGCAGGTCTTGGTTCACTACCTTTCACCAGCCAATGGGCTGTGGCTGTTGGGGGGAAGGTTCCTCAGCCTATTTCCTGTTTTCATACAGGAAGCAGCAAAGCCAAGCAGCAGACAAGGCAGACACTCATACACTTAACTTGCCAGAGATTGAAACAGAGAGCCGACCTTCTCTTCCTGGACCGGTGGACCCCACAGTGCCTGGAGACTTCAGGTCAGTCAGTGTTTGACCCAAGCTCAGTCCCCCCCTCCCCACCCTGTCCACTGTGGTTCAGTCCCCTCCTCCTGGGGCCTCTTATCAGTACTTGGTGGGGCAGGGAAGTAGGAAGGAGTGCGTGTGGCACCCCCCAGGTAAGGTGATCTCCACAGATTATCAGGGTAGAGCAGGTAATGGCTCATCTATTACCCCCCCCCACCTGCCCCCCATAAACTCAACTCATTTTGAAATGCCAGATACAATCTTAGGGTCCTGGGGAATAGTCTAGAATCCGTACCAGGGCCTTGCATCATTATGGCCCCAGAAATGTGTGTAAATGCAGAGAGCAAGGCCCATACCAGACCTCTTAGCTGAACTTCCTGGGTTTTGAGAGCCAGGAAATCTGCCTGAGAGCAGCCTAGGGCACCTATCCCACCCCACCACCTGGGAGATTCCAACACATGCTTAGGTTTGGGAGCCTCTGTCGTTGGCCAGGATTCTCAGGAGAACACACAGACATCCAGAGTGGCCAACCCTTCTCTAGAAGGGGTAGTGTGTGTGTGTGTGGGGGGGGATACTGTGGCTGGACACCCTAATCCTGATCCGAGGAAAGATCAGAAAACCAGGACTCTGACTGAAAATAAAATTCAGCAGCCAAGGCTGGCCAATCTCAGCTCTCTTTCAATGAATGACTCTTGCTTAACAGCTCAAGTCCCTGCCCCCCAGGGTGGGCCAGGAGATGTGATTTCGCTGTGCTAGAAGTTAATCCCTAGTAACAATCCTCAGCAGCCCCTCAGGAAAGTGGCCTAGGTACCCATTCAGACTGGACATGGCATGAGCACTTGAAGGGTGGTGTGGGTCAGGGCATCTGGGAGACAAGGAGGATGGCCAAGAATGCAGAGATACAGGGGAGCTACTCTGTCCTTTGGGCCAAGTACAGACCAAAGCCAACAGCACCAATATTTGCAAGGTTTTGTCATAAAGTTTAGAAATATTTGCTACAAAGGGTGTGGGGAAGTAGGGGAACTTCAGTGTGTTTATTGCCAAAGAATGTTTATAGAGAGATAAGATTTCCTTCCCATTTCACAGATGGGGAAGCTGAGGCCTGTGATGGATGGAATGCTGGATTAAAAGCCTTATAAGGCATGTGGGGGTGGGGGTAGGGGCAGGAAAGGAAACCTACTGCCCTGTAGATGGGAATGTAAACTAGGACAGCCACTCTGGACATCAGCCTGGAGGTTCCTCAAAAACCTAAACATAGACCTTCCCTACAACCCAGCCATACTACTCCTGGGCTTCAATCCTGAGTACCATGAGCCAGGATATAAGGACACTTGCATACCCATGCTCATTGTCTTACTATTCACGATAGCCAAGATATGAAGACAACCCAGATGCCCCACAATAGATGAGTAGATCCAAAAAATGTGGTACCTATATGCAATGCCATTTTACATAGTCATTAGAAAGAATAAAATAATGTCATTTGCAGGGAAATGGATGGAACTAGAACAGATCATGTTAAGTGAAGTAAGCCAAGCTCAGAGAGACAAATGGCACAAGTTCACCCTGATATGCAGAAATTAGATCCAAAATACACTGGGACGTGATAAATTATACACAGTCTTAGATGCTCACACACAGTGAGACCAAAAGAGGATACTTTTAGGAGAGAAACACAAAGGCACAATGCCAGTGCTCTTCATATTTCTATAAAATAATATACATATTAAAATGAACTCCAAGATATGGAAACGTCTCTCTTTTTTCTTTCTTTTTTTTCATTTTTAGTTTTTGGCGATTCTATCTTCTTTATATATGTGTATTCAAAAAAAGTGTACATCTTCAGAAGAGTATAGAATTTGAGGCAGTGGAGCTCACTGGACACTGATGAAAGTGAACTATATAACTATATATATATAACTATATAACAAAAGACATTGTAAAAAAGGAAATGTACTCATTACCTGACTCATGTAATTGTAATCCCTCTATACATTACCTCTATAGTAACAATACAGTAAATTAATAATAAGAAAAGAAAGGAAATCAATGGACCCAAATGTAGAGTAGAAAGAAATTTACCACCAGGGAAGTCAATGATGCTCCAAGATAATATTTTGATTCTAAATAATATACTTGAAGGAAGAAAATAGTGAATGATTATCTTTATTTTTAAATGATTGGAATTAATGCTACCTATAATAAAAGTATGAAAGTATTACTTTAGGTATTACTTTAGAACATGTTCTATGTTTTAGTGGGATAGCCTCTCTGTCCAATTTTTATTTCCTTAAAATGCTCAACTGTAAAAGTATGTACTGTGAGAAATTTTGTAAAAATGAAATTATCTACAGACAGAAAATGGAACTTCCCATCACTGAAATCGCACTTGGTACCAGTGCAGTTTATACCTATTTAGCAATGATTTCCTTTCCATAAACACATTCACACATGTCAGATGTATGTTATAGAAATGTGAATCATACTTGTATATCACTTTGCACTTTGATTCTTCTCTTCATGAAATATCATGGTATCCTATGTTGCTATATCCACTCCTTTCTGGATAAGTAGCATTGGTACCTTCTGTAACCTTCCTTGATTTTAGCTTTCTTCATTTCTCCATTTTAGTAAAATGGAGAAAATTCAACACCACTTCATGAGATAGTTGTTGCAATTCTATGTCAAATATTCTGAATGATACCTGTTGCACAGGAATGTTAGGAAACAATACAACATCATTTTGTTGTTGTGTCACATATGTATCCTACAAATAGATATGTAGTTCTTAAATATTTCCTTTAATAAATATTCTTATATTTCCTTAAGAAAAACAGACAAAAATGTGATGGGAAGAGACAGGAAAGATACTAGTAGCCCATGACTCAACAGGGATTGCATTATATTGCAGTGTATTGGCAAAATTCAACTAATGTTTATTACATATTTTTTCACTTCATTGTATATGTTGTACATCAATAATCTCCATGCTTGAACATTTGGGGGAAAGTATACTGAGATAGCAATTTATCTTATGAGACATATTAAAAGAAAAAGATGGTCTAACAAATTAGATGGATAGAGTGTGATCAAGCAGGTATAATAAAGTTCATGGTAGAGAATTTTAAAGAGACGTCCATGGGAGCAGCAATGTGTAGCATTTTCCTTTCCACATCTTTCAGTGGGTGGATCCCAGCCAGTTCCCTAAGAGGAAACCAGCCAGCTGACCTTGATTGCTAAGATCCACTTTCATTCAGGACGAGGTGTCCAGGTTTTTTACTGCAGTGTCCAGTCAAAACAGCATCTCTGGGCTCTTCCACGGTCCTGAGGAAGCCAGTGTCCTGCTTACCAGACACCCGATCATGAAATCAGAACTGGATGGGCTGAACCACGAAATCCAGCCCCTTCATTATCACCCATTTCACAGATGAACCAATGGAGGCAGATTCAGAGCAGCTCCTACTGGAGACACTGGGTCCCAGGAAATCCTAGCCATCAAAAATCCCATTAGATAAGAAAGTATAGGCTATCCAAATCTTGCTTGGGAAGTTAGCAGGATATAGGGGACCTACCTCTAGCCCTATGTCACCTTACTGGGACAGGGCTGTGGCCACACTTCTCAGGTAGGGGGTAGAAGAGAGGGGCTGGGAGTGTAAACAACTCACCTAAGGACTCGGCTCCTTAAGAGTCTGAGAGACAAATGAGACAATCCTAGCCAGCCACGGACCTGTTATTTGACTCTGTTTGCCCATCTGTAAAAGGTGAGATAGGGTCAAGGCTCTCCTCCGATCCACCGGATGCCTGGGTAACACCCCAGGTTCCGTCTACTCCACACAGAAAGTTCAAGCCTCTGAAGGTTCATGTCCTGGTGGCTAAGCCCACTGAAAAGGGCTCTCAGGTCTAGAACCGGGGCTGCAGGGGAGCCATAGGCATGCTCAGCCAGCAGTGGCCCCGCTCTAGTCAGCAGAAGGCATGAGGTCATCACTTCTGCTACAAAGCTGTGTCCCAGCCCCTGTTCCATTAAAGCAAATCTTCCCATTTCTCTTTTCCTGATTTGTGCCATTTGTAATTCAATTCCAGCGTATAGCTTAATTTAGCCATGTATATCACAACTGTGGCTCAAAGCATCTAGCACAGGCCAGATCCTAAAAACAGGGATGACCCTACAGGGCCCGGAGTGGAGCACAGAAGCTAAGGGGACTTTCCAGCTAACAGGTACCTCCTTTACCTCTCTAGGTCACTAACAATTTCTGTGTCAACGAGGCCCTCCCTCCTCATTGCAGAGAAGTCGGAAGATTCTGGGGTTGCGCCAGCCCTTTCTCTTGGGCAGCTCTATGTCTCTGTTCCTTCATCCCACAGTGGAGGCAAAACCAATTTCCTCAAAAGTGATGGTCAGATTCAGAGAGAGAGCATGGTAGAGCAGAGTACTGTCAAAATAGCTTAGGATGTTGGGGTGTCATGTAGGAATAAAGACACCAACTTGAAAGGAACTTGGCAAAGTTTACTTCTGCAGAAGGGTGAGCCATCAGCCAAAAATCTGGCAAGCAAGCACACAGAGCAGGTGGCCGACTCCCTTTTTATCCCTAACACAGCAGGCCCCGCCCCTCTGCTCACTTTGGTTGAGCCCAGGTTCAGTCTGCCAAAAGATGCAGCTTCATTAACAGGATGCAGCTAAAATTCAAGGAGCTTCTACCAGTATGTCTTAAAGTGCTCAGGAAAAGGATATCTGTAATTAAAATATAATTAACAAGGGCCAAGCCACCTGGCCAAAGCAGAAACTCTGCAGAAGAATTTTCTCAAGATTAAGAGAAAGGACGCAGCCATTTGTATAGATGCTTTTTCTCAGAGTACACAGCCAGCATGGCGTAGCATTTGAGATAAATCCTGGTTTGTTCATTGGTTCACTCACCAGCTGCGTGACTGTGGGCTGGACTTCTTTATCTGTTGTTTGGCTGGGGGGGATGATAAATTTTTGTGGGCATTGAATTAGACGTGGGGTGTAAAGACCTTGGCAAGTATGAAGTAGGAATAACAGGCTATCAGTCAATCTTTGTTTTTAGACAGACAGATACATATATACATAGATTAGATGCATTCGTAGGAAGTAGACACTTAGATGATGGATAGAATTTTAGGTAAGTAGATAAAGAAACTGATTATAGAGATAGATAATACATGTGTATAGTGATATAAAATTGAGTACCAGGACATTTGTCAAGACATGCTAGCACCTTTTCCCCAAGTAATCAACAAAGCCATTCCCTGGATCACTCAGAGACTCTGAGCCTCCTGGGAACCTCTGGCCAGCTGAGGACAGACCCCGGTTTGATCTGAGTCTGGGGCAGGCAGGGGAAGGTCCAGCAGAGTGGGGGATCACTGTCACTCCCCTAGCCGGACAGCAAGGAACAGGCCCATTGGGGACCTTCAGGAGCCCAAGGTGAATGGACATCCACTGTCTTCTCTTTCACCCCAGCAGCCTCCAGCATGGAGAGGCCAGAGCACCCCGAGAGCCCTGGCTGGACAGGACCTGTAACCCTGTGTACAACAAGGACCAGGCAGGAAGCACCAGCCACAGGCCCAGACCTTCTCTGTGTAGGACCTGATGGACATTTAGGTGGGTTTGAGGCTTGGGGCTCTGGAAGGGGGGCAGCGGTGGAAAAATAGTTGGAGTACTTCTGTAGGTGATGCTCTGATCATCCCAAGGCCAAACCAAGACAAGGATTTGGTGCTCATTGTTTGCCCGGGAGCTGACCCTACAAGGTATAGCAGAGAACATTAATGTGGGGGAGCAGAAGACTGGGGTTCAGTCCCAGTGGGGATGCCCTGGGATGAAACACATTTCATTTTAGGCACAGGGGAGCTAGGCTATATTATCCCACATTCCTATCCTCCATGGGCTGATGGGGGCTCCTGAGTATGCTACCGTGGCCCCAGAAAGGCCCCAGAAAGAGTCATAGTTGCTTCCTTGAGGGAACCAACAGGCAGCAAGTATCACAACAGCCAGCATCCATCACGTCAGCTATAGCGCCATCTCCTGGCACAATGTGTCCTCACAGTTGTCCTAAGCGCAGAGAAAGCAGAACGCAAAGAACATTGAGCTGACCCTCAGCACAGAGTTCAGAAAAGAGAAATGCCCATGAAGAATGATTAGGAATGCCACAAAAAGGCTCCCAGCACAAGTAGGAGACCTTCACCTAACACCACAGGGCATCTGGGGTGGGTGGAGCCGCTGGACAATGGGCCCCAGACCCCTTCACCATAAATGCACAAGCATTTGCTCAGACTCAGTGGGGAAGGATTCTAAGTTTTCTCTAGATCCTCTGGGAGCTCTGGGCTCAAGGGAGGCTTGGGTAGCGCTGCTGTGTTCCAGTTAGAACATGGGCGGACCATCTCCATGTGTGATGCCACGTGGGCAGTGTCAGGACAGGGTCAGGGGTCCCTGCTAAAGTCCCAGGGCCCCTGCTTTAAACGTAGTAGGCCCTGGCTTGCGGTGAGCATGGGTTTTTCTGTCCGCAGGCTGGAACAATGCATTTCCTAACCAAGAAATGGTGGGTGGGGGACGGGCTGTGTGAGACTGGCAGGGTGAGTGGATTCAGGTCAGACTGCACACAGGGGCCCCGTCAAGGGGATCCATATTAGATCTAGGCAGGCTCAGCCACCTCCCTGAGCCCTTGCTCCAATGGACGCTGCCCGCGCGGTCTCCTTAAGGGTGCTGTCCTTCCAGATGCCCTCAGTGGCCCGAGCTCCAACTCCAGCATGACCACTCGGGAGCTGCAGGAGAGCTGGCAGAAGGAGAAGGGCCACTGGAAGCCGGTCAAGCTGCTCTTTGAGATCGCTTCAGCACGCATCGAGGAAAGAAAACTCTCAAAGATCGTGGTAAGTTGAGGCCAGGAAATGGTGGAGGCCCTGTCACTGCCTCCTTTCGGTGAAACTGCAGTTTTCCCATCCATGAAATGGGTTGGCATACTCGTCCTCAGAATTCTCCCAGAGAAACCAAGGCTTCCTGCTGGCAGGGTGCCAGGACCTGTGGCTGACCACTGTGGCACCAGAAGCTCTGTGCTGGGGGCTGCTGTCTGTGCCAGACCAGAATTTCAGCCTGGGATAGAGAGATGTTGGAGGTAGACCACTCCCTTTCTCTCCATGTCATCCAAGATAGGGCAGTAATGACGGTGGCCACTGGGTGCCAAAGGCATGCTGGGCAGAGCCCTCACGTGGCTTCAGAACACTGACCCGTTCTGCCAACATCTGGAAAATGAATTAGGTGTCATTTCTACTGTCCATTTATAGAGGAGAAAACTGAGGCTCAGAGATGGTAAGTCACCTGTCTAAGACCACACAGCTTGGAACGGGACTGGAATTCTAATCCAGGCAGTGCAGCTAGGGAGCCTGATCAGTATCCTCTCCAAAGGGAACTGTGAACGTTGTTTTCTTACCATGTAACATCATCACTAGGAGACTAAATGCCAAACCAGAAGCCAACTCCCAGGTGTTCCAACCCAAGCTTCCCAGTTAACAACACAGGAAGCCAGTTTGGGCAATGCAGAGCCAAGAGGGACCCTAGGCCCATTGCACAGGTAGGCAGATTCCTTTTCCCCGGAGATGTTTCTAGTTGTTATTCCAGGATTGACTCTTGCTGAAAACAACTGCTAGATAGCACAGCACAGGGGGAAAGACAAGGGGAACACTGTCAAAGCATGTTCCACATTACAGGCTCTGGTGCAAATGTCACAGTGAAACTTGTTACCTTGCATAAGCAAGATCTGCTAATGTAAATAAATAAGACACACCATCCACCCTCGGAAACGAGAATTTCAGCAGAGCATGATGGCTCATGCTTGTAATCACAGCACACAGGAGGTAGAGGCAGGAGCATCTCCAGTTCTAAATTAATCTAACTTGCTTACGTTAGCAAGACCCTGGAGAGGCACAGGGAGGAGGGAAGGAAAAGGAAGGAGGTGGAGGAGGAGGAGGAGGAAAAGGAGGGAAGGGAGGGAGGAGGAGGGAGGAGGAGGAGGCAGAAGGAGGAAGAGGAGAAAGGGAAGGAAGAAGGGGAGGGAGGGAAGAGAATTAGAGGAAAGAAGAGAGGGAGAAGATGGAGGGAGGGGGATGGGAGGAAGGAAGGAAGGAAGGAAGGAAGGAAGGAAGGAAGGAAGGAAGGAAGGAAGGAAGGAAGGAAGGAAGGGGAGAAAAACTGCATGTAGGGCTAGCCCATTTAGGGGTGCGCTGTAGATTGTTCTGGTCACTATTTTCCTTTTCCTTTGCCGGGCGGGATGGAGCCCAAGGCCTCCGTCTTCCGTCCTCCGGGATGGGGTCCAGGCCTCCGTCCTCTGTCCTCCGGGATGGAGTCCAGGCCTCTGTCCTGTCCTCCGGGATGGAGTCCAAGGCCTCCGTCCTCTGTCCTCCGGGATGGAGCCCAAGGCCTCCGTCCTCTGTCCTCTGTCCTCCGGGATGGAGTCCAGGCCTCCGTCCTCTGTCCTCCGGGATGGAGCCCAAGGCCTCCGTCCTCTATCCTCCGGGATGGATGGAGTCCAAGGCCTCCGTCCTGTCCTCCGGGATGGAGCCCCAGGCCTCCGTCCTGCCCTCCGGGATGGATGGAGTCCAAGGCCTCCGTCCTCTGTCCTCCGGGATGGAGTCCAGGCCTCTGTCCTCGGTCCTCCGGGATGGATGGAGTCCAAGGCCTCCGTCCTCTATCCTCCGGGATGGAGTCCAAGGCCTCCGTCCTGTCCTCCGGCAGCTGTACCAGATCGTCGTCGTGCAGACCGGGAGCTTCGACAGCGGCCCGGCGGTGGTGGAGAGGCGCTACTCGGACTTCGAGCAGCTGCACCGGAGCCTGCGCAAGGCGTTCGCGGAGGAGATGGAGGACGTGGCGTTCCCGCGGAAGCGGCTGGCGGGCGGCCT